GCGCCGGCGCGACGTTCACGGTCGAGGTCGCCGCGCCGACGCGCGGCGCGCGAGCGCGCCCTCGCGCGCGGCGGCCGCAACGACGCCGCCCCCAAGGCTGCTCAGGGGAAGGCGCCGGGAGGGCAAGGAGACAGACGGCCACGGCGACGACGACGACGACGACGACGACGACGACGACGACGACGGATGACAACGGCACTGGACGACGACGGCGGCGACAACGACGGCGATGGCGACGGCGGCGGCGACGGACGGCAACAGACGGCGACAGACGGCGGCGACGGAAGCGACGGACGGCGACGACGGCGGCGAAGGCGGCGACGGCGGCTCCGCTCCTGACGACCACAGCGACAGTGACGACGAGGAGGCAAGCTGAGAGAGACAGACCGACAGAGAGAGAGAGAATCGGAGGCTGGGCGAGGGCTGGCAAAGCCGTGGCTGCTAAAACGGTCTGCCGTGAAGAAAAAACACATTCCTGGGACAAAACTCAGCGCACTGAACAGTCAACGGGCTGCTTCCTGGAAGAAATAAACAGTTCCCTGGAGCTCCGTTTTAGCAGCCACGGGTTTGCCAGCCTTCGCCTGGTTTCTGAGAGAGATCAGAGGAGGAGGAGGAGGAGGAGGAGGAGGAGGAGGAGGAGGAGGAGGAGGAGGAGGAGGAGGAGGAGGAGGAGGAGGAGGAGGAGGAGGAGGAGGAGGAGGAGGAGGAGGAAGGAAAATGGAGGAGGAGGAGGAGGAGGAGGAGGAGCAGCAGGAAGAGAGAACGACGGGGGAGGAGCGGCGACCCGAGGTCCTAAGCGCCCACGGGTCCTAAGGTGTCCCCCCCGATCGGTGTCCTTCGAGTGCGGGCGTTGCTAGAAGTGCCCCTGGCCCAAGGTGCCCCCCGGACTCTCGGGGTGGCCCAGACGGCCCCCAGGGCACCCCTCGAGGCCCAGAGGGCCCCAGGGGCCCCAACATGGCGCGAACAGCAGGGGGGCGCCTTGGGCCAGGGGCACTTCCAGCAACACCCGACGAGTGCGGGCCGGGGGCCCTCCCGCCGGCCCCCCCAGGCGGCGCTCACTTGGCTTCGCCGCCGGGCGGCGGCAGGCGGCGCCGCGCACTCCACGCCTGGCTCCTCCCTCGTCGTCGTCGTCGTCGTGCTCGTCGCCGACTCACCGTCGCCGCTGCCGTCCTCGCCCCTCGGCCCCGTGCGATGCGGTCAACCCGTACAAGAAGGATGCGCAGTAAGAGTGCAAGGGCCTCGGACCCCCATGTCGACACTTTGCGAGCGGGGCGCGGCCAGCGAAAGCGGCCAAGGATGGACCGAGGAGGCAGGGATGCAGGGGTACCCTTGGGAAGGTTGCCCACCCTTGCTATGCGGGTTGACTGTACCTGCGACACACATGCCACATGGAGGGCGGAGTCCAGAGATCTCCAGAGCACAGGCAGGCCCACGGGGCAGCGAGAGCTGAAAACCGGCACAGGGCGGGGGGGGGGAGGAGGAGCCCGAAAGCGTCCAGATGGCGGCTCAACTTCGCCCCCGAGGGGCTCCGCAAGCCAGTGTAAAATAGAGTCGTCGACGGGACCAGGGCGGCCACATTCTACGACCTAGGTCGGGAAAAATGCGCCGCAGGGGGATGAGAAAAACGAAATCCGTAATTTGCGTGTTTCCCGTAACCATCCTGCCGTGTTTGGTCCTCGTTTGGACTCCGCAGCGCCGCGTCTCACCTCACCTCACCTCACCGTTCTCTTCCTCCCCTCCTCCTCTTCCTCTTCCTCCTCCTCCTCCTCTGCCTCCTCATCCTCCTCCTCCTCCTTCTCCTCATCCTCATCCTCTTCCTCCTCCTTCTCCTCCTCCTCTTCTTCCTCACCCGCGCACCCCTCAGACGCTTCGTGGCCCAATAGGCAGCTCCACCGAAGGCCCAAATGGCAAAGTTCGCACGGCGACCCCGCGCCCATCTCGGCACACCCTTCACGCGCTTCGTGGCCCCATGGAAAGCTCCACCGACGACCCGGGTAGCAAAAGTTCGCATGGCGCCATGCTGGCACATCCCTCATATAGGAAGGCACCAACTATACACCAACACCGATCCTGGCCAGGATCACCCTGGGCCCAGGATCGGTGTATACGCCCTCCTGCCTTGCGCAAGAAGGCATATACACCGATCCTGGGCCCAGGGTGATCCTGGGCCAGGATCGGTGTTGGTGTATAGTTGGTGCCCTCCGATCATACGTTTCGTGGCCCCATGGCCAGCTCCACAGCCGGCCCGAATGGCAAAGTTCACATGTCGCCCCCCCGTCCAGTTCGGCAAACCCCTCACAGGCTTCGTAGTCCCACAAGGAGCTCCATCGAAGGCCAAAATGGCAAAGTTCGCATGGCGTCCCCCAGCCCATTTCGGCACACCCCTCACCCAGCTAATGGCCCCTATCATAGGGAGGGAGCTCCACCGAAGGCCCAAATTGCAACGTTCGCATGGCGCCCCCCTGCCCATGTCGGCACACCCCATAGGGAGCTCCACCGCAGGCCCAAAATGCAATGTTCGCCTAGCGTCCCCCCGCCCATCATGTCGGAGGAAGAGGAAGAG